AAAATATCAATTTCTGTAAATCAAGTTTAGATTTTAAAATTATTTTGTTTATTTTATTTGACAAACAGTGTAACACCACCGATTTCCATACCGATTTAAAACTTAATAATCTAACCATAAAAAGCATACACATCGGAAGTCTAAAAATGAAATAGATGGAAAACGTAGAGTGTTATGTCACGTCCACACAACGGTGAACGCACAGGCGTAAACAACGTAACATTAACATAATCTGTCTATATAGGAACAAGGTCAACAACAACAAGTCTAAAGTCTAGCAAAGGGCACGCAGGCCAAAGCATACTACAAGGATTGAGGGATCTATTCTATCCGTCTCTAGATCGCGCTCGACCCTACTCGGCACCTGAAAGAAACACATAAATATATGGGACGACGCCCGGTCAGCGAATGATGCTTGGTAACCCACCAATACATGTGAAATATCATACATAGATATGATATATATACACAAAATCATTTGCGAAACGGGATATAGTATATATATGTTTAAAACCAAGAATAGAAGTCAATCACAAGCCTCATACACTCATAACAAAGACAAGGGAACACATCCCAAGACATCAAGAAGTGACAACGACACCCAAGAACGGCTCAAGGCGTATTCTACCATCACACAGTAGAATATCACCCGACATGCATAAATCAAGAGAATAAGGACACTCACATTGGCAACACACGCCTTGGCAACACATGCCTTTGTGACAACACATGTCACAAATAGAGAAATACACAACAATGGCAGCACATGCCTTCGTGACATCACCCATCACGAATTGATATGCCTTCATTATGCCCGGTTCCAACCTTATGGCTACCCCCAACCTTATAGCTAGTCCCAACCATTACCTCCAGGACCCCTGTACATACAAGTCAAACCTTTTCCCTCCGAGGACCGTCGTCCCCATCCGTCGATAAACCGCCAACAAATCCACCAATTCATAGTTCACGAGGGTACCGATCACACACATGGCAACACATGCCTCCCAAGAAATACGTGAACTCGACACACAGGTCACAAACTCCATAATCACGTCATGGCCACCACGAGGACCACTGCCGTACCTGGGTCACTAATGTCCCATACCATTAATCGTGCAATCCAGGTACAGCCACACACACAACACCATCACAGGAATCAATCAATGGATCACAACGAAGATATGAAACTATACTCAACAAAGGAAGGATCACAATCCGACAACAACGATGATTAACACAAGCATCATCCACAATAGGATAGGACAAACCACACACACTAGCATTTAGACACCAAACTAGCATGCTTATCAAACGGGTAAACTAAACATAGTTCCGTATAACATACAAGACTCATCATGGTTCAACGAATCACAAGGTTGAACACTTAGCACGATTCAAGACACCAAAACCTACATGGATTCCTACCATATAATTCAAGACATACGAAACATCAAGAAGACACTCAAAGAGTTCCACAAAAGAACATTGGAAAGTCAAAAGACCAAATACCGAGTCAAAAGAATCACGGGGAACAAATACCCGCCCAACACCAACATACGTACCCGCGGGTTGGTCCACGGGTGGACCCCCACCCGTGGTTCCGCCCGCGGGAACACAGTCTCCCACACGCCTGTACCCCGCGGGTGGGGCGGCGGGTGGACGCCTACCCGCCGTTCCGCCCGCGGGTACACCTCTGTACCACAAATTATCCCTTCGGGGATTTTCAACACCAAGCTCAAATTCAAGTCCAAAACATGCCAAATCTCACCAAATACAACAAAATGACTTGAATCAAAGGAATAGCCAAGCAATGGCATACATGAACCCTAATAACAAGCTCTAGATATGCATTTTCACAAGACAATGCATCAACACTTACATTTCATAGCAAAATCACATGTAGAATCCAATAAATCATCATGTAGGTAAGCAAAATAGATTTTGTAGAGCATGAGTTACCACTTGTAGACAAAAACCTTCACTTAACACTTCTCAAAGCTCCTAACAAGGTTCACCTTCCACACCCACTTCAAGTACACACCAAAAGATCATAAAGATTCTACCTTTAGAAAAAGATACCTTAGAAAACACTAAAAACACAAAAAGGAACATAGATCTTACCCTCCTAGATGCTCAAGAGTAGGAAATGTGGAATCTTGGAGACAAACTTTGAAGATCTTGGAAAGTCTAAACTTAGCTTGGAGAGAAAGTTAGCTAGGTTTTTAGAGAGAAGGGAGAGTTTTTTGCTTTGAAAGTGTTAGGATAGAAATGGGAGATGTCTCCTAGGTTAACTTGGAATACAATCATGAAGGAAATGTCTTCCTTACCTTTACTAAGATGAAAGAGTGTAAGGGAACAAGGGAACTACTCACAAAGCTTTAGGTACAACACTTGACTTGGGTTGACTAGTCAATTACTAGTCCCCGACTATTGAATTTTCAGGAATTTAAAGGATTAAATTACCAATTGGATTAGGATTAATTACTTAATTAATCCCTAAATAGAATCCGGTTTTACTTGGTGTCACATCCACTCCCCCCTTAAAAGAAGCTTCGTCCCCGAAGCTTGGGTACGTGGAATTAAAACAAACGGTTGAACGAAACAACAATGTGACAAGAGTGTCAAAAACATCCTCTTTGGTCAAAACTTAAAGGATAAAGATACCAAAAGCAAGTAAGTGGTCATGTTATTGCAAGGATTGAAGAATTAACTAACGAAGATATTGAGCATAACAAACTCTAAGCCAAACACAACCACCAACTTCTAACCAACACCAAAGATCTAAACAACTAGCTCCTAGCACAAGCCCCAAAGCTAACTACTCAACCAACAAGCAAGCCAAAGCAAACACACAAGCACACAACAAGCAACTAGCCCACGGTGACAACAACCAAAAAGATAACAACAAGCTAAGGAAGGGAAGACGGGGGTTACCACAACACCACGCTAGAACGACTCGCTCTCCAATTCGTCGGTGCCTTCCTCGGACTCTTCATCATCACCTCTTCGTCTCGAACTGGCCTCAATCTGATCTAACCTCTGATGGACGGCAACAAACTGCGTCTTTATAAAAGCGAAGCCTTCTTCGATCATCTGGCTTTGTTGACGAAGCAAGGTGACCACACGCTCCTCGTGCGTCATAGCATCTTGCTCTCTCTTGGTTCAGGCTTCTCTTCTCCTTCGGTTTTCTTCACTCTCCGGATCACTTTCCTCCTCCTCGGCAGCTTCTCCCGCCTTTGCTTCCTCCTCTTGGTCTCTTTCTTCATCATCCCCCACATCACCTCCCAAACTCTGGACCGCAAGGTTCAACTTCCCAACCGGGATCTCGAGCTCGACCACCAACTCATCTCTTTCTTCAGGGGTCTTCCTGGCAACTTCTTCAAGAGTAATGTAATCACCATCATCCAACTGGTACAAGTTGCAACTCCGCAGGTTTATGGCATCTAACACCAACTTACTACAGCATTCGGTACACACCCTTCCACAGACACGCCTTTCTTAACAAAAATCCAACTCAACACCATACCGTAAGGTAGGCTCTTCCAGTTGTGGTCACGGCAAAAGACCATGTGTTGCAACATCAGGGCAGGCATATTAAACTTTACCATGTTCTTCAGACAAAAAGCAAAGGTGCACTCCAATTTTCCCAACAACCGACTTTTGTTGTTATTGGGCAACAAACAATCTGACACAAGCATTACCAAGATCCTTTGCTCGGCAGACAACCACTTCTTCTCCGGTCTGGAAGCTTGAGTGAAACCACTCGTGCGACCCCATGGTATCCGTATTAATCCAAGAATTACCACTATACAGAGAGACTCCCGTAGTGGTCAAACTTAAGAGTTGGGCTAACCTGTTTTCAGACAGAACCACTTTCACACCTCTCACCTTAGAGGTGATTTCAAGCTTTCCCCCTTCTTTTGTCACAACCATGCAACGGTAAAACTCTTTAACCAAGCTTGGGTATGTCTCGGCCCTTATGGCGAGAAACCCATCTAACAAACCTTGATATCTAAGCATATCCAACAAAGAACTAGGAAAGGATTCCGGGTCAAAAGCTTTACCTTCAAGAACGAGATAATGGGCATCCACCCATTCCGCTTTCCTTGCCAAACTTGACCTCCTAGGCATGGTTAAAGATGACCCAAAGCTCCAAGAGAAGACCCAAGGCTTTTCTCCCATTTTTCTCTTCTTCCTTCACGGTGCCTCACCCTCTCGCTGCTCTCTCAACTTCGCGGCAGCTTAGCAGGTCGACGTCGAAGCTCCGGTGGTGGCGGTGGTCTGGCGGCGACGGGGACAGGGTGGGTAGGTCGGAGACGGGTGGTGGGGTGGGGTGTGCTCGGTGGTTCTCACGGGTAGAAGAAGGGAAGAAAGGAAAAATAAGGGTTTTGGAATTTGGGGAAAAATTGGAAAGAAGATGATTTAATTTGGAAATTTTGGGTAAACTGAGAATTTATGGGTTAAATGGAATTTAACTTAGGTAAGGTTCAAGAAACATAATTAGGTCAAGTGGTACAAGGGTTGGGTTGACAAGTGATAAACCCAAGTTCAAAACTCAAAACTTGCAAATAAAATTTACTTGGTCTTTTTAAGCTTCACAAGAAGGAATTCTATGGATTCTCCTATTCCAATGTTCAAAGAACACTTGGATGGATCATAGCTCATTTTGGAGGTAAACAATTAACTCTACGAAATGCTTACCCCTAAGACTAAAAGAATCACGCATCAAGGGAAAACACGGCAAGGAAAACAAGGCAACTCAAACGGGCAACGAAAGAAACAAGGCAATGCACAAAAATAACAAGGAACGAGATGCGTTCTAAAGACAAGGGTAGGCTAGGAAAAGGGTTACCTGCTATCTCCTCCTCCACCAAGCCCTCGGTCTCCGCCTGCGATCGTCCCATCACGAAGACTCTCCCCGACGACCTAGTCCCGGCTGCTCCACGGCTCGAGCTACCTCTTGCTGCTCCACTGGGTCCCGTCGATGGTGGCAACGCCCTTTAATTGGCTTGCTGAGGGCATTCAGCGATCTTATGTCCTCGGTCTCCACAACGATAGCACCGGAATGCATGGCCATTGCAATCCTTGCCCGCGTGCTCTTTCCCACATTTATGGCATGCAAACTTCTTGACTTGACTCCCGGGCTCAGCTCGATTTGGTCCTTGGGTTGGAGATGATGCATTCTTGGCTTGGAAGCTCGGCCATGGCTTCTTGAAGTTGGAAGAGCCTCCACTCTCGGTCCTCTTTCTTGCAAGCTCAAAGGATCCACGCTGTAGCTGCTGAACACGGTACAAATCCGCAGCACTCAGGTATGCTTCCTTCAAAGAGCTCGGCCTGCTCACTGTTAAGGCCTTATGTGCTTCGTAGTTCAAGCCAGCTACGAACTTCTCAACTTTGGCGAGTTCTATTGGGACAAGCATCCGGGCGAAGCGTGCAAGCTCTAGAAACCTCTTTTGGTACTCAACCACTGATGAAGAACCTTGATGAAGATGTAGAAATTCCTCATACATTGCAGCTCTAACATGCGCTGGGTAGAATCGTTCACACATCCGATCCTTCAAAGCAGTCCAATCAAAGCCAGGCTCCTCGAGACAAGCTGGGACCTCATGTATCCACCACAAGTCGGCCTCGTGGCAGAAGTAGAACTTTGCAAGCTCTACTCTCCGCTCCTCTGGACAACCAACAACCGAAAAGATCTTCTCAAACGTCCCCAACCATTCTTCTAGGACAATGGGATCTTCTTCGCCCGCGAACGTCGGAGGTCGATAGCTCGACACCAGACGGCCTAAATCCCTCTGTCCGGCCGGCTGCGGAGGTGGCACAGGATGGTTGTTGTGCAACAACGCCTCACTGAGGGTCTGCATAGTCTGTGTGAGCTGATGTAGATTCTGGGCAAGCTGTTCGTTCGTCGGGGTCTCCGGTGTACGTGCACGCAGATGAGGAGGCATCGCGAAGCTTCTACAACAACAACACTGTTACAAACAAGGCAACACACAAGCAAACAACCGAAAGCAACACACAACTCACTGCGCGTCCTAAAAGTCCTAAGCCTAAACATTTAGATTCTTATGGTTACTTTAAGGTCTCAAGCCACACTTAGCCACTTACAAGTCTAGACTCTACCATCCTAGGCTCAAACCTAGGCACTGATACCAACTGTAACACCCCCGATTTCCATACCGATTTAAAACTTAATCATGCATATAATCTAACCATAAAAAGCATACACATCGGAAGTCTAAAAATGAAATAGGTGGAAAACGTAGAGTGTTATGCCACGTCCACAAAACGGTGAACGCATAAGCATAAACAACATTAACATAATCCGTCTATATAGGAACAAGGTAAACAACAACAAGTCTAAAGTCTAGCAAAGGGCACATAGGCCAAAGCATACTACAAGGATTGAGGGATCTATTCTATCCATCTCTAGATCGCGCTCGACCCTACTCGGCACCTGAAAGAAACACATAAATATATGGGACGACGCCCGGTCAGCGAATGATGCTGGTAACCCACCAATACATGTGAAATATCATACATAGATAGGATATATATACACAAAATCATTTGCGAAACGGGATATAGTATATATATATATGTTTAAAACCAAGAGTAGAAGTCAATCACAAGACTCAATACACTCACAACAAAGACAAGGGAACACATCCCAAGACATCAAGAAGTGACAACGACACCCAAGAATGGCTCAAGGCGTATTCTACCATCACACAGTAGAATATCACCCGACATGCATAAATCAAGAGAATAAGGACACTCACATTGGCAACACATGCCTTGACAACACATGCCTTTGTGATAACACATGTCACAAATAGAGAAATACACAACAATGGCAACACATGCCTTCGTGACATCACCCATCACGAATTGATATGCCTTCCTTATGCCCGGTTCCAACCTTATAGCTAGTTCCAACCATTACCTCTAGGACCCCTGTACATACAAGTCCAACCTTTTCCCTCCGAGGACCGTCGTCCCCATCCGCCGATAAACCGCCAACAAATCCACCAATTCATAGTACACGAAGGTACCGATCACACATATGGCAACACATGCCTTGGAAACACATGCCTCCCAAGAAATACGTGAACCCGACACACAGGTCATAAACTCCATAATCACGTCATGGCCACCACGAGGACCACTGCCGTACCTTGGTCACTAATGTCCCATACCATTAATCGTGCAATCCAGGTACATCCACACACACAACACCATCACAGGAATCAATCAACGGATCACAACGAAGATATGAAACTATACTCAACAAGGGAAAGATCACAATCCGACAACAACGATGATTAACACAAGTCATCATCCACAATAGGATAGGACAAACCACACACGCTAGCATTTTGACACCGAACTAGCATGCTTATCAAACGAGTAAACTAAACATAGTTCTGTAGAACATACAAGACTCATCATGGTTCAACGAATCACAAGGTTGAACACTTAGCACGATTCAAGACACCAAAACCTACATGGATTCCTACCATATAGTTCTAGACATACGAAACATCAAGAAGACGCTCAAATAGTTCCACAAAAGAACATTGGACAGTCAAAAGAATCACGGGGAACAAATCCCCGCCCAACACCAACATACGTACCCGCGGGTGGGGCCACGGGTGGACCCCCACCCGTGGTTTCGCCCGCGGGAACACAATCTCCCACACGCCTGTACCCTGCGGGTGGGGCGGCGGGTGGACGCCTACCCTTTGTTCCGCTCGCGGGTACACCTCTGTACCACAAATTATCCCTTCGGGGATTTTCAACACCAAGCTCAAATTCAAGTCCAAAACATGCCAAATCTCACCAAATACAACAAAATGACTTGAATCAAAGGAATAGCCAAGCAATGGCATACATGAACCCTAATAACAAGCTCTAGATATGCATTTTCACAAGACAATGCATCAACACTCACATTTCATAGCAAAATCACATGTAGAATCCAATAAATCATCTTGTAGGTAAGCAAAATAGATTTTGTAGAGCATGGGTTACCTCTTGTAGACAAAAACCTTCACTTAAAACTTCTCAAAGCTCATAACAAGGTTCACCTTCCACACCCACTTCAAGAACACACCAAAAGATCGTAAAGATTCTACCTTTAGAAAAAGATACCTTAGAAAACACTAAAAACACAAAAAGAAACATAGATCTTACCCTCCTAGATGCTTAAGAGTAGGAAATGTGGAATCTTGGAGACAAACTTTGAAGATCTTGGAAAGTCTAAACTTAGCTTGGAGAGAAAGCTAGCTAGGTTTTTAGAGAGAAGGGAGAGTTTTTTGCTTTGAAAGTGTTAGGATATAAATGAGAGATGTCTCCTAGGTTAACTTGGAATACAATCATGAAGGAAATGTCTTCCTTACCCTTACTAAGATGAAAGAGTGTAAGGGAACAAGGGAACTACTCACAAAGCTTTAGGTACAACACTTGACTTGGGTTGACTAGTCAATTACTAGTCCCCGACTATTGAATTTTCAGGAATTTAAAGGATTAAATTACCAATTGGATTAGGATTAATTACTTAATTAATCCCTAAATAGAATCCGGATTTACGGGGTGTCACAAATAGAGATGGTAATTGATAGTGGAAATACAGTACTAGGTATTCTACTACTAGAGTACGTGCTCTTAGAGGTCAGGATGGAGGGATAACGGGTCGGTAGGCTCACTCTCTCTCCCCAAGTCTCAATAATTCCCCTCTACCTGCAATAAATGCGGGTATTCATAGGGACAAGGAGGCTTCTTCTGGGCTCCCGGCACGCTAGACATGTGGCCTTCATGCAACTAAAGGCGCTCTAACTGAGGAAAACACTTTACGTGTCACTCTACTTTGGAGGAAAGCCTACACGTACTCCAAGCGTGATAATGCTACACGTGCCTGTGGTCGGGGTGAACCGCGTGCTCCCAGACGGCCGACACGTAACCGCTTGGTACCGATCGGGTATTGTATCTGATGTGTAGCCGATCTAGACTCGACCGCTATGCTTGACACTCGGCTCGAGGGACAACTAGATATATGACTACTAAGAGCCCCCCAGCCCGTGCCTCTAACGAAAGCCTTCTGAGGAAGGGCTCGGGCTTAGACGGATATTCGCGAGGGGTCGGGATTATGGACACAGTGTCGATGTCGGCTCCGTTCCCGTGTGATGCGGGTTCACCGTAAGGCCTTCTAATCGAGCAATCGAGACCTTAGGAATGCGTTTCTCCACTGCTCGATTATCCTAGGGATCCGCACCAAACTTCTGAAACATGCTTGCTTTCCTGCCATTTTCAAGGCCTATATAAGGCCTTTCGCAAAACCCTATTTACACATCTTTTCTTGCTCTTGCGGTCGGACATCTCCGACCCATCTTTCAAATAGAGCTTGGACATCTTCCAAAGGTTTTTTGCTTCGAAGCTTGATCAACCGGTAAGTTTATTATACTATTGCTTTGTTTCACTTCTCTTTATGCGCTAAGCTCAATGTGCCCTGTGGCACGCTCGCCCGGGGTAAAAGCTACTCGGGTTTACACTAAAATACCCCTTATCCTCTTTGAAGGATACATGACCAGCTCCGACAGTGAAAACCCCTCGGTCGCTGATTATGACGACGAGGAAGAGGAGTTTACTGACCACACAGACACCGACGAGCTCGCGAATGAAAACCAATCGGATAGGGTTTTCGCTTCTCGTAGTGGTGAGGCCTCCACTCGGGAAGACCAAACGGCTAAATCTACGGAAGAGCGGCTGAGAGAGACAGAGGATGATGCAGCCGACAGAGGATGATGCAGCCGACCGAGATCAAGAGTCAGAAGTTCAACATGGGTGCGGGAAATCTCCTCGAACGCTCATTTCTGCTCTAAACCCCAATCTTTCTCCCCGTTCCTTAGTGCGCTTAACCGAGGCTTTGGCCGTCGAGACGGCCAGACCAGTGCCTAAGGTCCCCGAAATGATCTTTCTGAACATCGAGGTAGTGGAACAACACGAATGCTTCCTCAACCGAAAGGAAATGGCTGAGATCGCAACCTTACTGTCCGAGCGGGTTAAATTCGATACAACCAGAGCACTCAGGAATGTAATAGATCGGACAGACGGGGATTGGCTCGGGATGCATCTCGATTCCCTAAAAGCGCCGATATCCTTCCCTTTCTCGCCTTTTCTACTATCTTTCCTAGATTTTTACAAGGTTCTCCCCGGGCAGATATGTCTAAATGCCTATCGGATAATAGCGTGTTTTCTACAAATTTGTGCTCGGCATGAAGCCCCTTGCACCATTGAACTGTTCAACTACATCAATCAAGTTAAACAGCTACCGGCTAATTATGGAGGGGGTTTCTTGATGGCTCAATCCTGAGAGCATCTGTGTTCCATCGCTCGGCTTCCTGCAAACAACAAAGGGTGGAAGGATCGAATTTTCTCGATCGAGTATGTATAGCCGCTTCCAGTCAAACGGGTTTGGGCGACACACTTCACGGAGAATATTCAACCTAATCCGACCGACGAGCTACAAGAGGCAACCGCACGGATTTTCACAGAATTTCATGATTATAAGTTCTTCCGGTCGGCGGAGGCTTATACCAATGCTCGACTTCCACCGCCAAGATACGACCTTGATAGGAAATACACCCCTCAGCCGGTAGAAATCACGATCGCTATTCCACCTCCTAGGCCAGGACCCTCCAAGAAAGGGTACCTGTGCAAAACAATTTCCCGGTCCTCAAGGTTTTACTCCAGCCCTTCCGATCTTTACTTAATTGCATTAATTTAATCTTGCAGATATGAAGTCAAGTCGAGGATTCCCGAGCGGCAGTGCCAGTACCCGCGCGCCCCGACCTAAGGTGACGCTAGGGGGAAGAAGGCAGTAGGGCCTAGCGATACGAGCGCTGCTGGCCTGGGTGAGGCCGTATCGACCGCGATCCCTATGGTCACA